AGAAGTTGAGGCTTTAGTTGAGTTCATGTACAGTGCTGATGGCTCCATTCCTTGTCAAAGTCTCAGGAAACATGCACGATCACTCTATCTTGCAGCTGACAAATATGAGATTCCACATCTAAGGGACATATGCAGAAAAGAGCTTATATCCTCTCTCAATCCATCTAATGCTGTTAGCATCCTTGAGCTTGCCCAAATCCCTTTAGACATAGTCCTTCACCATTGCGCATTCGCGGTTGTCAGGAGCAATTTTAACACGATTGCTTACTCTGATAAGTTCAAGTCGTTTGCCATCAATTACCCAGATCTTGCCGTGGAGATAATGAAAAGTTATCTTACTTCCTCTAAGAGCAGAAAGATTTGTAGTTACTGTGGTTCCCGTTGTCGTTCCTGCTGCAACTACTAGAAGAAAACTATAAGTTCACTTTTGTTGTTTCATCTTTATTTTTGTCGACTGTTTTTTATCGACTTTGGATTTATCTTATGAATGTAATCCAAGAAAAACTTTCCTTTCATTCTCGGAAAGATTTGTACACAGAAACTAAAGTTGAGACCTAAGGAGTTTCACAGAAAGATTAACACAAAACACTTCACCAAAAAGGATATGACATTTTGACTACACTATCAATGTTTTCTTCCACCTTTATCCTCTTCTTGTAAGGCATAAACCCTCGAACAGACTGCGTCTCTAAGTCTAGTTTCTTCTTGACATCTTCTGAATCATTAGAGTTGTAGTCACCAACTACAAAAGTCATTCCAAACAGCGTAAGGCTTTGCTTGGTCTCTGCTTCTGGAAACAATGACTCCTCTGTGTGAGATGATAACGAGTTAGGTGAATTTGAACCCATTGAACCTAACCCATCTGACAAAACCGATTTTGGAGATCGGTTATCTTCGTCTATAACCAACTTGGCTCCGGTTAGCTCAGCGTATGCAATGTCTTTAGCATCAGGTATCACTAGCTTTCTAGGGTAAGGATGCATCGGCTTTCTTTTCGGCCTTGGAGGCGGAATCTCTATCGAATTCTCAGAGGTGACATCGTAGTCACGAGCAACCTATTCATAAACATGAATTAGATCTTGATTTTTGATATAGAACGTTCTTGTTTAGCAAAATTTGAGCTAAAAGAAGAAGAAAACAAACCTTAGTGAAGAACTTCTGAGCATGGCTTCGAATCTGAACAGCAGTCTTTGTTCCAACATGTTCTGTTCCATAGAAGAATCAACAAAAGTCAACATCTTTACCCATTTAAGTTTGCATTAGAGACTCTATATCTAGATAAGCACACGCACACACACACCTTCGATTTGTCTCCAAGATCTGCCATACAGTTTCAAAGCCTCTACAAACATCTCATGCTCTGTTTCTGTCCATTTCTCTCTTTGTTTACTGATGGTATAAGGCTTTCTTGTCTACAAAAACAAAACCCAATACAAATGTTTTAGATCTGAAGATGAGATTTGAAACCAATTATGAGTAGACAAGAGATTTAATAAGTTACCTTGAGGTAAAAGGCATCCGTGGATGAGATGAGCTCATCAGAAGCTCTGTCACATAAGCTCTCACAATGTTCCTATAATAAGAAAAAGAAAGAATTAGTCTCTTAACACAAATATTGTAAAGTGAAATTAAGAGTGTTAAAAACTAATTAAAATACGGATCTAGAAGGTAATTAGGGGATTTGAGACCTTGCTCTTACCTAGTTCTCAATAGACAATACAATAAGTAGTACAACCGACCATAAATATCCCACAAATCGCCTGGTTTTTATAAACACAATTTAACCTGCGTCAATCGAATATTCTTCAGTTCCGATTTCTCTCGGACATAAACAAAACACAAGTTGGATTTGGAAAGACCTAACATACCTCTTAGATCTGCCTAATTTCTTAAGGTTAATCTGGTCTATATACCATAACCTCTGTCCAAATAATAATAACAACAGTAACAGATACAAAAGCAAGATGTGAACTATATCATAATTCATAAATCAAAAGAAGAAAGATCTTAAAAACCTGCATAGCCATGGTTGCAGAAGAAGACTTGGAGTATTCAAGATTCGTCGGTATCTACAGCCGGATAAACCAGATACCGGACTAAATTTCACCGGAAAACAGCTAAATCTGAAAAAGAAGAAGAAGAAGAGAAGAGAGAGAACTCTTTTGAGATTGGTGAGAGAAATGAGAGTAGTTTAGAAAATGATCAGAGTCAAGGGTTCGTTTAAAAGAGCAAGAGGAAGATAAGCCACGTCAGCACAAGTATTAATAATTTGTTCTTTTGAAGAAAAAAGGGAGATGAGTCGAGAAACTCTGTTGTATCATGTGGCTCAGGTTAAAAGATGCTAGTGACACGTGGAGGAGGTCTTCTTCTCATCTTCTACGCTTTATCGCTTTGTCTTTGTGGAGAAGATATTTGGTTAATATCTTGTCGGATATTTTTAATAATAGAAAGTTTGGCCCAAAACCGACTGGCGAGCGCGTGGTTTGTTTAACAACGTTGTGAACATACTTCAACTTTAATCAAGTTGATAGGAAAATATATTTTGGTTAGGTGCACAATTAAGGTTTTGATTCGAATATATTATTTTAATTTATTGTTAATTTGTATACTCTTTTCCCACTGGATGGTTTTATACTACAGATTAAGCATTTTCAAATATAACTTCAGAGTATTTAATTATTTTTAGCAATAGTATTCAAGTAATAATCCAACAATCAATGAATAGATGGAATATTATGATTTAACATTGGATTTGTTCTTGTTTAGATCCTTTTGTGGATATTTGTCAAAAGTTCCTTTTTGATAACTCTATGTCAAAAGTTTTTTATCGTTATAAAAATAAATAAGTATTGGTAAACTGTATGATACATTTATATATTTTGACATAGAGTATTAGAGTTTATAAGAACGATTAGGTTTGGCAGATCATATGCTTGAGTGCCTCTCTTTTGACCAAAAGCATGTGGCAAAGAAAGCGAGTAGCGAATAACAACATACACGAGCGTGGTTTCTAAAAGAAGAAACAGATATTTGATTAAATTCAGTAACCGTCCATTTCAAAAAAAAATACATCAAAAACAACATTAAATAGGTATTTTATGTGAAGGCCAAAATTTGTGGTAATAAAAATATCTGAAGTCTAAAAAAAACAATATCCCATTTAGACATTTTCATGTACAACTGTCTCAAATAGACCTAAAGCGAACAAATACAACTTTTTGTTTGCACTTTTTGTTGAGTCAGCAAAAGCGTCCTCTGGGATGTTCCATAAGTCAGCCACGTAGACAGTTCGAGTGTCCACCGAGATAGGTGGGTGTTGGTCTTTCGGTTCGGTTTGGATGATTTGGATTTAAGGTTCACTAAACCGAGCTTAGAGAGAAAATGCTGAGCTTTTTATTGACATCACAAGTGTATATATAACCCAAAGAGCTTAAGTAAACTTCATGACATGATATAAGAGGAAAGATGATCGGTATTCATGGCATGAGAATAGGATAATATACATAGAAGATATGAGAATATCATAATACTCCTCAAATTAAGGTTTTGCATTTTCTCTCTATCAAACTAAAATCCATCAAACCATTCAATCATTCATATCAAACTAATACTCCTCAAGTTAAAGGTTTACATTATCATATACATAGTGATTGAAGATACGAGGTTTCACATTTTCTCTCTATTTTTTCTTATCATGATGCAACATGTGTATGTGTATGTGTATATATATATGTTATTATCAAAATGAATTTTATAGGTGTAAACACTTGAAACGCGTGACTAGTTACAATCTCATAAAAAATTGGTATATCGTGTAACAATCGCGTTGGATTGAAACTGTATAGGAAACAAATCCAAGAGAAAAGAGACTATGGGACTGGGGATTTGAATTAGGATTTTTTACTATTACTGTAAGAATATTTATATTTCATTAATTGCAAAAATCCAGCTTATTCTTAGCAGTGAAACAGTAGAATATTTTTATGGCGATAATTAAAAACGTTGACCAATCGCATCTGCACGTTAAAGCCCAATTGATTTATAATCAAGCCCAGTGAAAACCTGGTGACAGTTTTACACTTGACTACTGATCTCAGGACAGCTTTGGCTTGATTGCGAAGTTTTCTTGTCGCAATGGAGATGAGAGCTTTGGTTTCGTGTTCTGCCGGAAACGGAGGCTCTGGTTCGATTAGCCTCACGAATGTCTCTCCATGGATCGCAACAGTTGCTGCTCGCGTGGACAGAGATTTTCCAGCAACAACACTGAAGCTGGGAAGAAGCACATTCAACGGAGCTTCGCTCTACAAAAACAAAAGCAGGAGAAATGTTTTGTCTCGCAACAAACAGTTTCTTCCTCTTGCCTTCTTGGGGAAAAACGACTCTACCAGTCCTGATCCGACCTTGCTCTGGGATAAAAATGGTTGGTGATCAACTTTTTTCTTATGATTGTGTTTTTTGCCATTTTCATTTACATTTCATATGAATACAAAACCTTGGAACTATGATCCATCTTTGTTTGCTTATGTTTTTGTTGTTAAATTTCTTTTCAAGAGCTTGTTTATGGCTAAAACTACAATTCTTGATGCATTTTCCTTGTAGACTGATTCAGTATGTGTTGGTTTTACAGATATATCTGAGTCTCAAAGGACAGTTACAATCTCTGACTCCATTACAGAGCATCAAAGCGTGTCTGAAGTGGATGATTACTGTAAGGCTCTTGGAGGGAAAAGGCCAATCCATAGGATTTTGGTGGCTACCAATGGAATGGGTGCTGTGAAGTTTATCACAAGTGTTAGAACATGGTCTTACAAAACATTTGGCAATGAGAGAGCCATAATGTTAGTGGCTATGGCAACCCCTGAAGACATGCGGATCAATGCGGAGCATATCAGAATGGCTGATCAGTTTGTTGAAGTTCCTGGAGGAACAAACAATCACAATTATGCCAATGTTCAGCTTATTGTAGAGGTAAAATGCATTCTTAATTCGTTTACTAATAAATATTTGTGGTCTTTTTGGAGTTTTCTTGATTCATTTTTGATGTGTAGATGGCAGAGGCAACGAGTGTGGATGCAGTTTGGCCTGGTTGGGGTCATGCATCTGAGAACCCTGAGTTACCTGATGCTTTAAATGCAAAAGGAATCGTATTTCTTGGTCCTGAAGCAGCTTCAATGGTGGCATTAGGTGATAAGATTGGTTCGTCGTTGATTGCACAAGCTGCTGATGTACCTACTCTGCCATGGAGTGGTTCCCATGTAAGTAAATCTTAACAAATTTTGCAAGATAATCGTTGAACAGTTTCAATAATGATGTTTTTCTTTCTTCAGGTTAAAGTTCCTCCTGGTAGCAACCTGGTGACCATCCCTGAAGAGATCTATAGGCAAGCTTGTGTTTACACAACTGAAG